AGGAAGGGAAAAATGAAGGGGGGAAATCGTAGGGGGAGATGAACCATGTGAGACTATGGACTCTGAGAAACAAACTGAGGGTTCTAGAGGGCAGGAGGGTAGGGGGATGGGTTAGCCTGGTCATGGATATTAAAGAGGGCACGTACTGAATGGAGCACTGGGTGTTATATGCAAACAAAGAATCATGGAACACTCCATCAAAAACTAATGATGTAATGTATGGTGATTAACATAACATAATAAAATTAAATTAAAAAAAAATAAAAAATAAAATGTCAGCATGAGGAAAATATAAGGCCTGAAAGAAAGAAGCCAGGACCACATCCCAGTTTTCAAAGACTCATAAGACCTTGGGGGTCATTTGGTCCAATATTCTGTCTAATACAGGCTTTCTTCTAGAAAAACCTGAAGCCATCCCTATTTTCATTTTCTGGATTCTTTATATGTGAGGGGAAACTATTCCTGAACCTTTTTGTCCTAGAAAAGGAAAGGAAATTGGACAACTTTTTAAAAATTTATTTTTCCTCACTTTGGAACCAGAAAGATCTTGATTTCAGGTTTAATAGAGATAGTTGAATAAATTCCTGTAAGTCGAGAATTTTCATTGGAAACTAGGACACAAAGGAGTGAAGTCAGTGGTCCCTGAAGGCGTGGGCTCTGGTTCCAGTTTGGCTACTCCCTGTCTGAGGCCTGGTCAGTCACTGACGGTTCCTGGGCCTCCGTTTTTTACTCCCACGAAATAATTAACTGATTTCTAGAATTCTTTTAGGTCTAAATTTCCTGACTCTTTGAAAGTTGAGAAGCAACACCCACTCCTAGGTTAAAATATAGCACAAAGCGATCAAATTTTGAAACACTCTCCATTTCGGCTTTATAATTTCTGCTAAAATGATGTATGTTGGCGTTTTAAAAAAAGGCTTCACTGGCTTCTAAAAAAGTCTCCTTAATTAAGGGTAGCCCATAGGAGGAGGCATGACTCTTGCTATTTTAAACCAGAAGAATGTAAGTATGTTATATTTAGAGAAAGATATAAGAAAACTTTTAGTTTTTAAAAGGTGCTTTGTTGTAGAAAGTTTCCTGTATTTTCTGAATAAAGGAGGATACGGAAATAGGAAGAGAAGTGTTAGAAGAGCTTGTTACCTTTAGTCTCTAATTTGGGGGAGGAGGACTCAGCACGAGCCCAAGTCACATACAACTATCTCATTTTATTCCTTAGATATATATCATTTAACTTGAGATATAACTTTTCTTAAGAATACGGTGTCTTTTTGTTTAATCTGTGCAGTGCCTTCTCAAATGCTACTTATAGGTTGTTTTTTTTTTTTAAAGATTTTATTTATTTATTTGAGAGAGAGAGAATGAGAGACAGAGAGCATGAGAGGGAGGAGGGTCAGAGGGAGAAGCAGACTCCCTGCCGAGCAGGGAGCCCGATGCGGGACTCGATCCTGGGACTCCAGGATCATGACCTGAGCTGAAGGCAGTCGCCCAACCAACTGAGCCACCCAGGCGCCCGCTACTTATAGGTTTGAGAACATAGCCAGCAAGATAGTTTAACTGATGAGACTGATTTCTGATTGATAATGGCTTAAAATCGCTGACATCTTGAAATATCGTAACCTCTCTCAATTAAAATATACATATTAAAGAAAGCTGAGTAAAAACTTATAAGTAGCTAATAAGCTAATAATAACTAGCTTTGCTTTTCACCAAATTTTACTAATGTATTGCAAAGAAATTAAAGGTTAAAAAAAAAATCTACTAGTTAATATCCTTAAAATCTGTTCTTTCAGGCCCTCTTGTCTAATTATCATCTCATGATATAATTAAAGCAAAGTTAAGTGCAGAAACGTTCTCTGAATAAAGATTTTTTTAAGTTTTGTTGATAGACATTATAGTCCGTGTGTGTGATTTGGAGGTTCAAAATTTTAGTGTAATATATGAGTCGTGTAATGCTAAAGGTTTATAAATAATGACTGCAAAGTAACCTGTCTGATTTCTAAACAAATATTTCAGCATTTGTACATCCAATTTTTTGGATGTACATCCAAATATTTCAGCATTTGTACATCCTCTTCAAAGTAAGCAACTATGTTGCCATTCTAAATATTTTTGGAACTTACTTATTCATTCAACAAACATTTATGATAGATCAGTCACTATGCTAGGTGCTACTGGGTGCTATGAAAACAAGGGGGAACAAGAGGTGGTCCCTATGCTCAGGGAGCTCATGTCCATTGAGGAAGCCAGTGATTCAAACAGAAAAATTGCTAAAAACATGACAGTGAAAACCACAAAAAATGTGAGCCATTGTGGTACCCAGAGGCCAGAGGCATCAAGCCTGCCTGGGTGATCAGGAGAGGCTGCTCTTGAGAATGTGACATATGACTCTGGTCCCAAAGGATGAGCAGGACTTGACCAAGAGAAGTAGGAAGACCAAACAGAAAGGACAGTCATGACAGACCTGGCATGTTGGAAGAATGAAAACCACACAGAGTTAACATGGTAGACTCTTCTGAACATTCCAAATTACGCTGAGTGACATTGAGAGAATAGCTGGGTAGTCAGACTGCACAGTATCATTTTTGGTCAAAACTGCACTGGTTTGAAGGCAATTCCAAAGAGGGTCTCTAAGTCTCTTGAACAATGAGAACATTGTTGGCATAAGCTTAAAAGTTGGCTTTATCTCCATTCACTGCTACACCCCTGGTACCTAGGTAAATACTTAGCGAAGGAACAAACACACTAATCCAAAAGACATGATTCATTTGCATATAATAACAATTGATATTTGATCATTTTTTAAGGTGTTTTCCCCATCATCATATATAAATCATGAAATGTGAAAAAAATCTTATTTCTTTATAATCATTCATATTTTCTTTTTTTTCCTCCATTAGATTCTTTGAGGACACAGACTTTGTCTTACTCATCATAGTATCCCTAATACTAACTGTAAGTATAATAATAGTTAAGTTGTATATAGCATCTACTATGTGTCAGGAAATACACTAAATACATTACACACATTAATTCATTTCATCCTTATAAACTGTCAGGTAGACACTTTTAACACTGATCATTCCCATTTAACAGGTGGGGAAACTGAGGCATAGAGAGGTTCAATAACTTGCCCAGTATCAGATGACTAATAGAAGAGCTGGGAGTTGAAGCCAAGAAGCTTGGCTCCAGAATCCATGTGCTTAACCTCCACGTTATACTACCAAGCACAGTGTATAGCACATAGAAGATAGTCATTAGATGTTTGTTGAGCGAATTCTCTCTCTTCGCAAGGAGCATTTTTCCCTACTTAGCAATGGAAACTTCCACTCCACAGAGGTCAGGTTTGCTGAAAGTCATTTTTGTTATCATCATAATATCCACATGCAAACCTGTTAGACCACTGGTGTAGCAATACAAAAATCAAGATTCGGCAACTGTTATAAAAGCATGTTGAAATACCTTCTAGTTCACCAATTTTTTTGGCAAATACTTTCAGTTGTTTTTTCAGTTTCCGAACAGTCTTATCTTGTTTTTCAAGCTGTTCCATCAAATCCTAAAGATTAAAATGAGAAATATAATAGAAAGATCAAAATGGGCCTTCTAAAATGCACAGAGGAAAAGCAGACACAAAATCACAGGCGCAACACTGTTAGTTTTACATAAAAGCTCCAGAAAAGCTCGCTGGTGGAGCCTCCACCTGGCGAAAATTGGCAGGCATGGAAACGCAGCTACAGGAAAAGCCAAATGTTAAAATACACACTGCAGTAAATCCTTTACAGCGTGATGGAGAGCAGGCTCACTGGGGAGTCTTTTCCAGCAGGACTCCATGTGGGTAAAACAATTAAATGCTCGTAAAACGTACTGCTTTTTCAGTGGAATGCTTTCTCTCAAGGGGGGAGAGGCAAAATAAATTTTGACAGATGCTCAAAAAGTTCTGTGGGGACACAATTTTAGGGATGGCTGAAATGAGCTCGGGGCTTCTGACTGACACCCGTGTGTGAGACCCACCCTTCAGAGATGCTAACTTTTGTCCTGTAACTCAAGAAGTTTGGGGAATTAAAAGATAACTTGAAAAACTAACCACAGAGAAAGGATAAAGAGTGATCTGCTGACCTACGTCCTAGTGGCAGGTGGCATAACACACCCATAACATTTCACAGGGGACATAATTTTGCTTATAGAGGAAAAAGGGGGCAATTCCAAATGCTATATATGCAAAAAAAAAAAAAAAAAAGCCCAATACATTCAAGGGGACAGGGTAAAAAAGTCTGTGATGACTGTCTATTTAATCAAGAATTCTCAAATCACAGGCAATGTTAAGAGATCAAAAAGTAGGGGTGCCTGGGTGGCCCAGTCGTTAAGCGTCTGCCTTCAGCTCAGGTCATGATCCCAGGGTCCTGGGATCGAGCCCCGCATCGGGCTCCCTACTCCGCGGGAAGCCTGCTTCTCCCTCTCCCACTCCCCCTGCTTGTGTTCCTGCTCTCACTGTCTCTCTCTCTCTGTAAAATAAAGAAATAAAATCTTTAAAACAAACAAAAAAAGAGATCAATAAGTAAGAAGAAAGTGACTAACAGCAGGCTCGAAGCTTAGGAGAGAAGTCAGTCAGTGCTATCTACGTGCAGTTTTATTCAGGTTGTGCTGAAGGAAACATTTACAAGCACAAATAGTCAATCCACTTTCCAGTTCAGACAGCACAGAGTTAGATACTAGACCACTGATCCAAAGGGAACAGGTGCTAACATTTCCAAGTGTTCAGTTGTGCTTCTGGGATTTTACTTTATCTTTCCAATCACATTTCGCTTCCATCACACTGTAAGCCTAGCGTTAAGAACAAACCCAACGTGACAAGGGATGCAGGACACTGAGAGGTGACACCACTGGCTACAAGACAGCTGTGGGAGAAATAGGTCTCGTGAAAGTTTCTGAGGAGATTCCTGAGGGGGACGGGCAGCAGAGTGCTCTTCAGTAACAGAGGCTACAAGTAGCGAGGGAGACAACAGACATGCACTCTGAGTTTACATACAATCATCCGTTTGTAAAGTGAAATCCGATATGACTGATACTTCTTAGGGTCATCTGCATATAATTCCTCAAAATACTGAAAAAACAGGCACAACGGGTATTTGTTTTTCTCTGTGTCTCTGAGGGGGAATGTGACCTCTCAGCAAAATCAATTTAAAAATATTTTACAACACAAATAATGACAGTATATGTACTCAAAAGGCTGATTTGTCATCTGCCACTGCCTTCTGATCTTTCCAAGACAGAGGATTCTAATTTTATATAGATACACACATACATATAAATTTTCACGTGCTCAGAGGCAACAGGCTGTGGCTCAAGCTCCATCATTCAGCAGGTTAAACAGAGCAGTGGCCCATATTCCTCAGATAAAGCTGGTATTTCGCTCCTCAGACCTGCTCACAAGTTGCTGTACTTTTTTTTTTTTCTGCAGCTAGCAGCAGTGACAAGGGTGAGAAAGGCAAATAAAATGGAAGTGAAAATCATGGCAACGTTGGCACTCTTGCCTGAAATTGGCAAGGCTGGTGAGAAGCTGTGTGTCTTCCCTCCCTCAAGGCAGCATGGGGGAGGCCTGTGGAGCATGTTCACAGGTGGAGGAAGAAAGCCCATCTTCGTGTTTGTGTTGGGAAGTAGGTGGGTAAGTGGGTTATGCAGGGTAGAGTTTCCAAGAACACTAAGCATGGGTCCATTGGGCTTTATTATTCTGCTCAAGTGTTTCCTAAAGAAATGCACAATTAAGATTGAGAAACTATATAATGGTTTTGAAAAGTGCATTATTCCCTATACTTAAATTTGAAACCATTCTCCAGATTTAGTAGTTGGTGAGGTACGGGAAGCAGCTGACCTGTAGAGGGTCTTCTAAAACTCAGAGAAACTCATTAACTAGACTCTACCCCATAGAATTTGAGAGCTTAATTTACTTTTGTATAGCTATGAAAAACTGCCAAGAAAATTAATACTGCAGACGAGGTTGCAAAAGAAATGATTAATCGACTTAGTGAAACAATTGGGAATTTGCCATCCAGAAGCATCTCAATTTCACAGTTTCGCCTTGTATTTTGAAACAATCATTTGTAAGCACAGAATTTATACACTGATCAATTGTTATAATTCAGTATATTTATCAATTCTTAGGCATTAAAGCACTGTTAGTTTAATTTAAGCAATAATATACTTGAGAGTAATAAAAAGCATTTCAAAAATATTCCATGATTCAAAACATTTCCCCCCACAAATCAGTGATATTTCAGTCACTTTGGAAAGAGTCCAACACTTGCCCTCACATGCTTCTCCCATTCCCACAATAGAGCCCCACGTAGCAAGCTGCCTTCAGAGTGACAGAGTGGAAAAAAAAACTTTTGGGTTTTGCATCCAATTAATACAAAAGGTGGTTGAATAGATGACACTAGAAAACTATTTGTAAGTGATCACTAATGGAGTTAATTATAATAATTCAGACTGTTAAATCTTCACAGAAAATCCAAACTATTTTATTAAAGGTCATTAAAACCCTGAATTAAAAAGAAAAAAGACAACTCACTACCAGTTCTAAATAGCTTTTCTCAAAACCAGGCTGACACTACAATATAGATTTTATATAGGTATGTGGAATTATAACTTTTTAATGACTTTTAATTTAGTAAGTGTATTTATCAAACTTAAGTAGATTTACAAATCTGTAATAAACGTTATTTTGCGACAGAAATATTTTAGAAAACATTTCCTGTAAAAGAAAGAAAGAAAAAAAGGAATAAGAAATAGCTTGAACTCCGTGCCAGCATTCAGAATCTGGCAAGGGGAAAATATCTCCTCATTCATTGCGATTTTGTTAGAACCAAAAATGTATAAACTTAACTCCTAATGTCCCTCCACCCTGACCTGGGGGCTCCAGCCAACGTCAAGCAAGAGCCCCCGTTTGGTTCTGCCAACCACCTTCCCTGAGCATAACTGCAACCCCTGCCTTTCTGCTAGTGATGGAGGCAGGACCAGCCTTGGTGGCTGCCTGGGGACAAAGGTCAACAAAACCTGTCTCGAGTCTCCATTGTGACAACCACAGAACAAACCTCCTTGAAATGGCAGAGAATCTGCAGCTAGAAGTGGAGGCAGCAGGTCACCTGAGTTCTCAAGGATATCAAAAGCCCAGCACACGGTCGGGGGAAATCTCCTGGGCCTTCCCAGACGTGCCAGAGCCTTCTGTCAGAAACACAACCTGGGCACGTGCCTTTTTCATTTCTACCCACATAGTCACATCTTCCTCACTCTGTCTCTGCTAGAGAAGAAGGTTGGTATCAAGTGTCGGGCAGGGAGTTTTTCCCAGCCCAAACAGATGTGTTTGATCAAAAAGAAACCAGGACGGTCCTGCAGGGCCAGGCACTGCCCGTGGAGGGATGTGTGGACCCAGCAGCTCCCCTTACCAAGTTTTCGTTGGTCAGCCTGGTGATCTCATGCTGCAGGCTGGCCTCGATGCGGGCCTCCGGGGGCAGCTGCAGGTTCTGGGCCAGCAGCTGCTGCTGCCGGTTGTTCTCCTCCTTCAGGCTCTGGATCTCCCCGCGAAGGGCTTCTGCCTCATTCTCGTGGCTCCTCTTCTGTGACTGCAGCTGGGATTCCAGGAGCCTGAGGAGAAGCCACATGGGTGGGAAAGGGAGATGTCACCCGAGTCTCTGCTTGCTGGGCGTGAGGCTTTAGGCTCACTCGCAAGGGCAGGAAAAGTGGGGAATTTTTAGTGTTTGTGTAATTTCGGACTTCATTAAAGTCAAGAAGCTCAAGCAAGGGCCAGCAATGGAAAGAAGTGAAGCGCTCTCACAATTGTATCTTTCTGAATTATGGACCATGCTACAAATATACCATTCTCAAAGGCCCTAAGAGATAGGAAAGTTTAGGCTCTTTTGAAAAGTGTATAAGAAATGATGACTAGTGGGCACCTGGGTGGCTCAGCTGGTTAAGCGACTGCCTTCGGCTCAGGTCATGATCCTGGAGTCCCGGGATCGGATCCCGCATCGGGCTCCCTGCTCAGCGGGGTGTCTGCTTCTCCCTCTGACCCTCCTCCCTCTCGTGCTCTCTATCATTCTCTCTCTCTCACAATAAATAAATAAAAATCTTAAAAAAAAAAAAAAGAAATGATGACTAGAATAATCAATTAAAAGACATACCTTTAATCTGGCTTACAACATTTACAAACTAGCCTTTAAGTTGGCAAAGAGAGTACCTGTGTCAAAGAAGAACTCTGCACTGTAGAGGGCAAGATTACAAACTCCCAATCTAATTAAATATGCCTCTAAGAATTTCAGTGTTACTAACTTCAGGCAGAAGGTATGACCAGGGTCCCATTTCTACTTTCTACTCTTATCTCTGGAGGACAGAAAGGCTGGAGTGGGACTCTGAAATATATACAGAGTTACCCAAATCCAGACAGATCATTCTGAAATTTCACACACATGTATTTTAAATTTGTCATTTTCTCTCTCCCCCATAAACTTCCATATCAGTAACAGAATCCATGCGGTTTTAGAACATAGATGTTAATAGGACGAACAAAGTGGTTACGGCTTCTCTCAGCAAGCACACAAGTCATCCGTGCCTGTAAGCAAACCAGGGCACCAGCCGTGAGAATACCCAGGAGAAACGGCATCCTCTCTTCACCATGGATCCCCACTTCTATATTTACCCCCCTTCCAAACATAAAGTTATGGTTAGGAATTAACTAACATCAAGAAAAGAAAGACGTTCTTTCATCCTAATTCCCTTTGGTATCAACTGCTGGGCAAAAGTTACTGACGTCATTGCAAGCAAACACTTAACAGCAGACTAAAAATACTTTAGCGATTATAAAATTTCAGGAGTGTGAACCAATAACGCCACAAAGTTAATGATAATGGCTTGTGATTAGAACAAACAAAGCAGAATAAGCAGGAGCCCCTTGAACAGTTAAGTATTTTTAAAATCTAATCACTAACGTGGTATTTTTATGCGATTTTAAAGATACAAATATCCTGAGAGCAGGTGAGCGTCTGTGTTAGAAAGCTGTTGCTGTTCCAATTTTATTTGCTTTCCCCTAAACACATTTAACGTGTTGAGTTCGGGTAATTATTTTGAACTGCAGCAGAGTAGTGCAGGAGACCCTCTTGATTTGTGGTTTCACACATTTGGATTTCACAATAATCACACAGAATGCCAAATCAGGCACTCAACACTGCTGTTAGGCAGCATGGTACTGTATATAAGAATGCAGTCTCACTGCCACAGGTGTTCATACCCTTTAGATTGGTCATTATTCCAAACAAGAAACCACTAAGTAATAGGTATTAAACTCTCCCACTGTAGTTTGAGCTCTAGTTGAAAGTTTTTTCTTCCAACTCCTAGTGAGATATTCAGAAGTTTTAGTGAGTGAAGGGAAGATCCTTCACTCATAGGCAGCAACTCTTATATTCACTATCAATCCGTTTCAGCTTTAATTGCATCCCTTGGTGGAGAAAGTTTTTAAAGAAGGTGTTTGGCTGAATGTTCCAAGTTTTACTGAAATTCACCCAGGAAGACAATTAATGCGTAAGAAACATAGATGTTAAAGTCAGAAGGCCACTGTTAGTAAGAAAAACAACAAATTAATAACATTCCATTTTGAGGAGACAAATATAACCTGTTGGCTTGTTTTAACCCTTCATAAACCAGCCACAGCTCTCCATCCTCATTCAACTCATGGCAATCCATAGCAGGTGATCTTCCATGCAAAAGGAACAACAATGCAAAACACAAAGGGACACAGGATGGTCATGAGATGATGATGGTCAAGAGCAGCACATGGTATTTCCAATATTTCATTAAGTCAATAAGATTGTTTTTATTAATTACAGATGGCTTTAAGACATTATCACAAAAATTACTTTTGGTTAATTTTTTTTAAAAATGGGTAACATGTAACATCACATGTCAATGGGTAGAAAGTAAAACAATAATTAAGGAGCTAGAGCTACTTTTTCTGCAGAATAAGAAATGACTGAAAAGGTGAGAAAGAGGTTCTGTTTTTTAACATTTCATTCAGCTAGCAGAGTGATCTTATGCGTCACATATTATATGAGAGACCGAGATCAACCATGACAGTCACACACATATAGGATGAAAACTTCAGCTATTGTCTTCATGTGGCAACCTTCACAATCCATATCAAAATTAAGTTTTAAGTCTTATGAGTAGAAACTTGTTTTTGCTTAATAAAATCCACTTTCCTATTTTTAAAATTGTCTTAAGAAATTCTTATAGGAGTAACATAATTAAGAATATGTCCAAAGTTCTCAGCTTTTATGATACAACTGTTAAAAAAGATTTTTTGCGTCAAAAATTAATGTTAAGATCTGGGGAAGCTGCTTTTATATAATTTTTAAAGATTATTTATTTATTTATTTGAGAGGGAGAGAGATAGCATGCTAGAGAGGAGAGCACAAGTAAGGGGGAGGGAGAAGAAGACTCCCCACTGAGCAGGGAGCCCGAAAAGGGCTCGATCCCAGGACCCTGGAATCATGACCTGAGCCGAAGGCAGGCGCTTAACCAACTGAGCCACACAGGCGTCCCTGCTTTAATATTAAAGATGTGACACATTTTATTAAAAGTATGTATAGGAGCACCTGGATGGCTCAGTCGGTTGAGTGCCTGACTCTTGATTTCAACTCAGGTCACGATCTCAGCATCATGGGATCGAGCCCCGTGTCAGGCTCCATGCTCTGCGCTGGGCATGGAGCCTGCTTAAGATTCTCTCTCTCTCTCTGCCCCTTCCCCCTACCTGACTCGCTCTCACTCTCCCATGTGTGCTCTCTCTTAAAAAAAAAAAAAGTATGTATAAATAATAAATAATGACAAAGTTGATTACGGGTTTTTTTTACCTGGGGTATAAAAATATTTTTGAGTATCTGCCATCAGACACTGTTCTACAACCTTCCACATGTATTATTTCATTTAGTTCTCCTAGTAACCTACTGTGTATCATTTGCCACACTGCAGAAGAAGACACAGAGGTTTAGAAATAAGATACTTTAGAGGTTACACACTGGCAAGTAGGAGAGCTCAGGGCTATCTGACTCCAGAGCCCAGGTTTTTACTCTTCCTATTAGGCTTTTGTTAATATGATGTGTACAGAAAGCACATTCCAGAGAATGTTCTATTTACCATCTCCCCCTGGAAAGTTGATCTATTTCTATGGTCTCAATTGTATTATTATACACTGATGACTTCAAAATTTATATCTCAGCCCACATTCCTCTCCTATTCCAGATCTAGATGTTCAACGGCCTAATGGATTTCTCTCCTTGGATGTCTTCCTAGCTCCTCAAATTCATTATTTATAAATCTACCAGTCATCTCCACTCTGTGCTTCCCCACACCGCAGACCCAGGATCATGAAACGGCATTACCACATCCAACCAAGTAGTCAGACACATGAGAGCCACCCTCTATGATTCTCTATCCCTCACCCACACATCCAAGCCACCAGGCTTACTGATCTCATCTTATGTATCTTATCTATCTTTCAAAGTGTCCCATTTCTCTCAATCTCAACTGCCACCAACCAAGTCAAGTCACTGTAATCAGTCATTCAATTACAGTAATAGCTTCCTAACTGCTCCTTATGCCTTCAACCTTGTTCTACTATAATCTATTCTCTAACATAAAAGCCAGGGCTAGCTTTCTAAAATTCCAATATCATATCATTCTCCTACTTAAAACATTTCACCAACTTTGACTGTCACTGGAGTGAAGTCCAAATTGCCTTGGTTGTCTCCCCAACAGTCTACAAACTCTGTGAAAGTAAGAACTGCATTTACCTTCCTTACTGCTATATTCCCAGTGTGTGACATAGGGCTGAGCATGAGAACAGGCATGTGATAGATATCTGGTGATTCATTCAGAGTGGTTGGAAGGACAGGGTAATATAGCTCTTTCTATACTAACACCCTCTTAGATAGAAGATACGCTTATAATTTATATCATAAATTAAAATTTAAGTTTAGGGCGCCTGGGTGGCTCAGTTGGTTAAGCGACTGCCTTCGGCTCAGGTCATGATCCCGGAGTTCCGGGATTGAGTCCCACATCGGGCTCCTTGCTCAGCAGGGAGTCTGCTTCTCCCTCTGACCCTACCCCCTCTTGGGCTCTCTCTATCTCACTCTCTCTCTCTCTCAAATAAATAAAT